GTCAAAGGATAAAGTTCTAACTTGGCTTTTTTTCCGACCTAATAGCGTCAGACATGGTATACGGGAGACGGGCAGTAGGAACGGTTGTGTGCGGTCGATCCGCCGTACGCGGCTGTCGCGAACCATTTGCCTCGTTATAACAATTCCAGCGTTCTTCATATAGCTTAATCGCTATACGATTATTACTTTTGGCATGATTCTACTGCTAGTTCTTTTGATCCTGTATTTCTTACTTGCTGTTGCATTCTGCTACATTCGTTCGCGAGCGACGTCTCTTGCCGCGACGCGACAATTTCGTTCCTACTGCACCACACCCCGGCTGCTCAGACCAGTGGGGCATTATGTCGACTTATGTCCATCAATGAGAAAGTGAGATAATTGGAAAGCTTACTTCTCAATGAACAGACTCTTGAGCTCGGGTAAAATTGTAAGATTTGGCTTCATTCATTGTATGCTGTTTACAGTTCACCTCCACCAGTTTATTTTACGCTTCTAGACAAAAAAATCTCAATTACATAATTATTGATACATACATTCATTAATTATTGCTACAGTCATTAATTATTAATCATTATTCAAATGCTTTATTACATCAAGATCGACTGCCACCCGTCCTTTGTAACCGTTATCTGGTATCTCTTTTAGGCCTGAAACTAGATATATTACTGTCATCTTCGGAGGCAAAACATTGGCTTACAGTACCTTTTATGTAAGATTCTGGCAGTGAATGTTCAATAGCTCCTGCTATGATCACAGTTTTGTAGTGAGGTGATGGTGGTGCTGGAGGGGCAGTTTTATTGGAATATTGATATGTTCGACATTGTATCGTTTTATTAGCACACTCTATCGGTACTGTAAAGGAATGCATGAAATTCTCATGGGATAACAGCTATACTCGACGAACTTGCTGTCAGCTTTAGCTATGTCACTGGCGGCCAGCCGAGCGACTAAGCGTCTATTAATTGTAATTGTCCCTTTACCATCACTAAGTAAACTTCAAAACTTCAAAAACTTTGAACTTCAAAAAACTGTTGAGTTACTATTCGACACCCGGTGACCGCAAGCAACACTCCAGCAAAACCATTTCTTATATTTTTCATGGACAACACGCTCCAGGTCCGTCGAGCCTTCACGAACATCGAAATAGTTTTGCTCGATTGAACAGTACCGGTTAACCGATGGTATCCGATTTCCTGTGAGTCCAACTCTTCAGAAAAATCATCGGGAATTCGCCAAACACAACCATATACCTGGAAAAATGAACTCATAGGTTGGCGCATATGTCTCTGTACATTTTCCACTCATAGACTCAGCTGATGAGGTATCCATACTCCGTATCTCCATGTTTTTCCCAGGTGATGCAAGTGGACAGCTACTGTCTTGTGATGGCTATTGTGCTAGCTCGCGGGTACTACGTTTGGAATATTCTTCAACCAGCTTTAGAAGGAGGTCGTCATTCAGTTCAACTGGTCTCCCTGATGGCTCGTGGTCTTCGGTCAGGTCAAAGTGAACATTTTCAGAATTGTGGTACCAATTTTTCGCCGTGTTGTAGGAGACAGTGGAGGGTTTCATCGCATCACATATGTTCCTTGTCGCATGCTTCGCACTGACGTTTCTTCTGAACTCAAAGTCTAAGCAGTCTAGTTTGCTTTGAGTCGAGAGGGATTGTTTCAGTCATGACCGTTGCGAAATGCTGCGGTGGATATGGTGTGATGAGCGCACTGACCTGCACTAACACATAATTCGCAATGAAAATTTCAAAGCAAGTTGCAAAGATTTCACAACATGGAAAACAAAAAGAACAAAGACTAATGCGCCAACCCGCAATCCATCTGTGATTGTTGGGTGGGCATGATTCGCATGTACCTTTCACCCAAATGAAGAGGAGTACTGTGTCTATACTAACGAGGATACGGACTACTACCTGTGGTAAAGATAGGGATTGATTGCAGCGAACTGTAGCTCTTCCCACTAAGCGTGACAGCCGGCGTTTTCCGCCTTCATTTTTCACTCGGATTTACAAGTCCTTACAAGGATAGCAAAGTCAATACCGCTCAGAACGAAGACCGAACAAGTCATTACCTGCCGAGGCCGAGTCAATTTGTTGCAGCATTCGTGCTGGCTACATATTCGCTAAGTGTAGACAGCCATTAAATTCGCCCTTGCACCTACCTCTGCTCCAGGTTTTTCTGTGATCGTAGCAATACCACCGTGCCATCGATAAGAATAAGAACTATCCACGAAATTCAACGCGAAATTTTTCAGTAATCCATTACATTCATATTCAGCACCCTTGTTCTGAAAATTGATTGCTGTGATTTCATCTGTGCTGTGATTTGGGCTTACCCAACAGATTTTTTCTGAAGACATGGAGGGCATTCAGGCCATAGGGCAAATTTTTTGGGCGTAGGCAATTAACGAGGAAGCATAACCCATTTCTGCTCGTCCAGCTATCTAGATGGATTCCTATTTCTGATAGAGCCACCAATCGAAAGCTCAATATATCACTAGAGTTTGAAAAGCCGACTATGGAAACGGTAAGAGAAACTGCAGAACGAGTTTGCAAAGAAGTTGCCAACAACAACCAAACAACAACAACAACGATTGTTTGAGGGCCGTGTTGATTTGGACGCCCGCCTAGCCGGCCGGTTGACAGATGGTTTTGCTATAACCTATTCACCATTAATATCTCTCCTGAAGTGGATGATGAGGGTACGTTCCCGCCGTCGGAGAATCTTTGCATTCCAGTACATGTTTCTACCAATTTTCGAGCTTGTTTCAGCGCCACTATTTTAGTGCCGTTCATTTATGCTTGCTGCAAGAATCTGATGATCCTCTTCTATCTCCAGCATCGAGAAAAAAATCGCAAAGGTGCATGTGAAAACCCCAATTCTTACGGATCAAGCCAAAATAATGAAAAGTAAACATACTGACCACAAGTCGACCCCTTATACGTCATTTCGTATGTTTGGACGAAATTTCAGCCGCTGCAGAGAACGGGTGATAGCTGTTAGAGTGTATCAGCTGAGTTCATTATCAGCAAACGTGCTCCATTTTGAATGATATCAGCCTCCACAGAGCAACTAAACACGTGCTTTCTTGGTGGTACTAACAAGGAAGGTCTTTCAGAGCGTGGGACGCTTTTTGAAAATGGTTTTT